GTTTTGAACAGAGGCTATTATTTGGTACACCCAACTGGGTGTCCTCAGGAGATTAAGGTTCACAGATCAAACACCAGAGTGCGACAATGTTGGCAAGATGAAAAATGGCACTTGATCGGAAAGGCAAGTCTTCATTCTGACTCTCCCTTTCACCCTTCTCCTAGTGCTCTTATTTTTCTCCTTCTTTTTGGTTTTGAGTTTTGACCTTATTTGCCAGTAATGTCGAATGACAGAAGAAATTAAGCATCCCACTTTTACTATCTTATCTGTTGAATTTTATTAGATAGAATTTCCTGATGGTGTTGGGATTTGTTAAGCTTTGCTGTTTATGAGTTTTTCCCCTTTGGACTAACCTCTCTTTAACCATTCTCATCATTGCTTTATCCCTTGCTTTGTTGGTTGTTTTTTCATTGTCTAGTAAATGTATTAGTGGAAAGATAACCCTTCTTTTTGATGCATTTCCTGACTCTGTGTTGGTTTTCACTTACAGGGATCTGGTACGTGTGCAAAACCTGACCAGCTTTCTGCTCAAAAACCTTGTAAAAAGGTGAGCCTGGTCTTAAGTGCTAGGAATGGTTGTCATGTTAGAGACGGAGATTTAGCTGCTCAGGGAAACATTAAAAGGCAGAAGTCTCATTCTAGCTCTTTGATGTCGCTGAAAAGGGTGTCAGACGAATCATCTAGAAACATTCAGGAGGTAGTGGCAGCTGAGAGAGGTTTTAAGAGACAAAGAATAGTTCCGGCTTCCTTAGGGGGCAAGACCCATGTTATTGCCAAGTGCAAAGGAAATATCATGGATGAAAAGTATGTGGGTGCTTCGTTTAACAACTGGTCTGATGAATATTACGGATTGAAGCCTACAAAAAGAAGTGGTGCCAATGGCTATTCCGCTGCCAGAATTGGAGAATCTAATGATTCTGATAGTGATGCATGCTCAGTTGGTAGTTGTAGTATTTATCATGAGAGTCCTGATAAAATTTGTAGCTTTTCAGCCGAAGTTCATTGTCAAGTACCTGATCTTCTGTGCAGTGATGCAGAGTCTTTTCAAGGTTCAGCAGAAGCACATGAGGAGGAAAGCTGCCGTCTTTCTTCGGAGGACAATGTTGCAGCAAGTATTCATGAGCTGGAGTTGCATGCTTATCGCTGCACATTGGAGGCATTGTATGCTTCTGGTCCCTTGAGTTGGGATCAAGAAGCATTACTAACAAATCTACGCATCGCACTCCATATCTCAAATGACGAACATTTGACGGAGCTCAGGACTTTAATTTCTGCTGGAACTGGTATTCATGTCAGTTGATAATTAATTTCTCCATTTTGGCTTTCTTTTTTATGGTAGGACCACATCCATGTTTTGACTTGAGTAGCATTGTAAAAGCATGAAAATAGGTGACACACTTGTTAATTCTCTCTTGGTCGTTAACCTCCACCATTATAGACAGTTGGCCAAATTTGTAACTATGTTATCTTGCCATATATATTCTTGGAAAGAAATTGACTCAATTATTCTTAAATTCTTACTTCAAAACTTTGTAAAGAAAGACTGAAAGGTCTTTTGATGTTATTTCTGAAGGACCTTGACTATTTTCTGTAATATCATTGAGCTGAAAAAATCACTTTCCCCTGATTCTGATCTAGTTGATGACATTCCTGCTTTGGAAATGTCAAAGTTTAAATGTTACATCCGAAAAGTTTTCTTAAAGGGGGCGGAAAAACAGATAAGAAGGAATCTGTTAGTGTTTTTTTGAATTGAAAGAAACCAAGAGTGGATGCATGTATCAGAAGACAATAGTTTTTAGGATGTAATGTACCTATTGACAATGTGGAGGATCATCTTTATTATGCAAATAACGTAATTATATTATCTTTTCCTATTTCAGAAGCTGCTAATCAAGCACAGAATTTGGTGACTTCGTTGCGCTTCGTTGTAACATACTTATGGATTTTATTTACTCATTTCTTTGGGCTCCTCACAATCTAGAAGTGTGAATTTATTTTCTCAATTTTTTTATTCATGGAGCATGTGCATTTTCCATGGCGACATTGGGATGCATGCATCCTTTGCCTCCTAAAGTCCAAAGATGATGCTTGCATTTGCAGCGCCTCTCCTGGCAATAGAGAGGACTCATGCAACGTCTATCCCACAGATAAGACAATTCATGGCTTGTTATATTACTGTTGTACAGCTTCATGATTTGTTTTGTCAAGTTAACTTCAACATCTTATCCTTGGTTTTTGCTAAAGGAAGTGAAGTTATTAAGCTGTCAAAACTATAGTTTATGATCTTATAACATATGTCTGTGTATTGCTAGCTATCTGATATAAGTTGTGCTTATTTACCACTAGACAATCAACTCACTTCCTGTGCATACTAAGAAATTGTATGCGATGTCATTTTAGAGACATTGGTCAGAAAGATATAGACATCTGTTTCGTAGTCCTTTGTTTTCCATCTCAAACAGATATAGACATCTATTTTGTGTTGGCTAGTGTAGAGAGTTTACAAAAGTGAAGGTATCTTGTTAAAAAAGGAATTGAAAGTGCACTGTCAAAAAAAGGAATTGAAAGTGGTTAGAAATTCTAACTTAGAACTAATACCTGTAATTAAACTAGCAATACTTGTCACTTAGTAGTTGTAAGAGTTGTACAAGCCGGGACTATTGCAATCATGTTGGAGATTGTTAATGACCAAATGCTGCTGCTTATCATATGAACTTTCTTGAAGAGGTTTCGGCGACTTAATGTGATTCTTCCGTTACATTATCTATGGATTTAACTTGTACGCACTGCCAGTTTAAAGATTTTAAGAGTCCCAGTGTAATTCATCCTATTATAGCTGGTTGATTACTATTTTTTACCTGGTTATTAATTAATGTTTATCATAGAGATTTAACCTGATTATGTAAATACTCATATTTTTTACGTTGCCGGTGCATAGAACTTAAACTCGTTATTTATTCTTGACTTGGGTTATGCTGCTTTATGGTGAATGAGAATACCATGGCAGTCCAGGGAGGTTGAAAGTAATGTTTCTGTCTGTGCATGGACTGAAGACACATGGTTCATCTGGATAAGAGATTTTGTGGCTAAGTATACTGTTTTTATTGTTTTTCTGGTGATAGAATTTCCCCTTTTTCTTTTTTTGGCGTATTGTTTCATGTTGTTTGCTTCACTTGTTTGCTATCAAATGCTTCAGTAGCTGATGCAGAGTTGTATATACCTCCCATTTTCATGGCTCATACTTTTGAGGTAAAGAGGATGTGTAACCTGTACAATTTTCTCTTTAAATTTAAGTCACTTGTCCAATATTATTACTTTGATTTAACTATATATATTGATTCTTTTAATTTATTTTGTGATTGTAATTTCTACATTCAAAATAAATAAATAATTAAAGTCATCCATAGTAAATGTTTAACTTAGTTATTTATTCAAAATAATACTGGTGGTATAGTGAACCTTATACATTCTTTCTGTGGTTTGACACTCAAACATGCGTTTCTCTCTCTCTCTCTCTCTCTCTCTCTCTCTCTCTCTCTCTCTCTCTC